AATTTGTCTTAGAGTAAGACAAAGTAAGTAAAGTAAGTAAAGTAAGACAAATTAAAGTAAGTCTAGCCATTTTTTCCATTTCTCATCATTTTTCCTTTCCCTTCTTTCCTTTCCCCTGCCCCTCCCACTACCCCTACCCCTTTGGACCTTTTCTTCCTATTTTGCATTATCGATTATTCATTCTAATCATTGGTACATTTTAGGTATACAATATAATGACATTCATCATTGGAAATGTGCACCTTTACATAGTCTCTCTTGAAAATAAGAACCAAGATGCATCATGTAAAGGTACAATTCCCAATGAGAAATGTAATTGTGTTGTATACCTACAATGTACTAATAAAAGAATTTAATTAAAAAAAAAAGAATAAAGTAAGTCTACCTGGGCACACCAAAGAAGTTGGGTTGTTTGAACAACATGGATTTCGGGGGAAATATTTTAAGTCTCTGAGGGTGAGCACAGTGCAGTAGAACATGTGCTTTCTTAAAAGTAAAAACCATCAAGGCAAGAATAGTTTGTCCTGTGCTACTGTTAGTGAATTCTTTCAGAAGAGCGTTGAGGACCACGGATTTAGCTCAGTGACCCTGCACCTGGCTTGCAAGCACAAGGTCCTGAGTTTGATCCCTGGTAGTGCGAAAAGAAGAAGGAGAAGGAGAAGAAGGAGAAGGGGAAGGGGAAGGGGAAGGAGAAGAAGAAGGAGAGGAAGAGGAAGAGGAAGAGGAGGAGGAGGAAGAGGAAGAGCGTTAAGTTCCACCATCCCCAAACAGTTAACTTGAAGATTAATCTCACAATGTAGCATTACCTCCTTACAAATCTCTAGGGAAAATAGAGGGTAACATCTCAATCCCTTAGGTTCAGTTTTAAAATAATCCTTTTTCATTCCCTTTTTTCCTCCTCTTTCCTCTGGTTAGTCAGAATTCATGTGTTGAAAACCCTAATTTCTAGGTGATGGAATCTGGTGGAATCTTTGAGAGCTGACTGGTTTAGATGAGGTCATGAAAGTGGGGTTCCTATTTTGGCGTTAATTCCTTTAGGAAGAGAAAAGAGACCACAGCTCCTGCTGGCCACCATGTGAGCACACAGAGAAAGGTTAAGCGGTGTGGGGCATTTTAACAAGTTGGAGGCAGAATGGTATAGCAAAGGGAACCTGGGAATTTGGAAACAAACACCTGTGCTCGAATCTGCCACTTAATAACTTCTCTCCCTTAGTCACTTCACTTATACAATGAAGGGATAACAACTATTTCACTAAGTTGTTATAAAGACTACATGAATAACCAGATAGGAAAAGTACCAAGTACTTGCCCCAATATAGGAACTTACTATTGATGGTCCCTGTCCGTTTCATCTAGATTCTTAATCTCTTTTCCTATTTTTCTCGCAAATGGTACTGTAGGGACAGAGATTATTCTACCTGGCTTTGTGTAACCAAGGCCTAGCTTATGAAAAAGCATCCACCAGATGCTCAAGACAAATTTGCGGAAAAATTGCGTGTATGACGAATCTCCCCAAAACTCCCTGCACAGAATCTGTTTTGCCCTCTTCTTCTCTCCTACTTGTGCTGTCCTTTTATCATCTGGTACTTTCCAAAGACGACTTTTCCGTTTCATTCTCTCACTCACATTCATGGGTGAGTATATATAAAATTTGAGAATATGTGTTAGATTTAAGCTCCTCAGAGACTTCATTTTGACACTCCAGCAAGTTGCTCAGATAATCACTGTAATTTCAAGGATGTTAGCATGAACCCTTAAATTAACTGTCTTTCATTCCAAGAGTCAGAAAATTTCAAATGGGTGGAATATGTGTTCCTAAAGTTGTCATGGCAACGACAGCAGGTCTGATACTCTATATTTTATCTCCCATCGGCTTGCATCCCCACTGCTCATATTCTTCACATATTATATACTTATCTGTTTCCTGATAGTCTTTGGCTAACAGTCTAGGAGCAGTGACATTCTTTGACACAGACATAGGAACAACAGGATATGGAGTATGTCGGTCAGCTTTCTTCTGCCCCAACAAATACATCAGGTAAGTGGCTTGCAAAGGGAAAAGGGTTATTTTGGTTCCCAGCTTGAGATGTTCCAGCCCATGATCTGTTGATCCCATTGCTTTAAGGGCTGTGGTGAGGAAGGACGTCATGGCAAGAGTGCAGGTGCAGTGAAACTGCTCACCTCTTGGCCATCAGCAAGAAAAGAGAAAGAAAGAAAGGGGAGATGATGCCCTTCAAGGTCCCATTTCCTGGTAACCTAAAGACTTTCTATTAGGCCCCACCTCTTAACTGCTTCCCCACCACTCACTAGCACCAAGCCCTAGACCAAGCCTTTACTACATGGGTATTTTGGAGACATTTAATATCTAAATTATAGTGTAGAGCAAATATTGTACAGCTCTGAATAAAACAGGCTCCTTTTATTGGCACAAAATCTGAGAGTCAGGCAAGAATTCACCAGAACCTTCTGCTTTATCTAGACATGTTTGCCAGACAGGGACCTTAGTAGTTTTCGTTTTGCTTTCCTCCACCCTTTCAAGCCAAAGTCACTGAAGCCTTTCTCTCTTTTAAGCTGACACCTCAGCTCTCCAATTTCTTGAACAAACATGTGTTACCTGGAGGTTTACTCACAGACTCAGGCCAGCCTGGGCCTGAATAAGGGTCACAGTAGAGAAAATGCATCTGAGAAATGCCTTTAAGAAGTAGAATGAGCCAAGCTTGTTAATGCATTAGAATTAGGGGGCAAAGAGGAGAGCAACTGAGATTTCTCACTAGGGCAGCTGCAGGGATTGTGGCCTCCATTAAGTTCCCAGGAAGATTGGGAACTTCTCCAAGTTTCCAGGAGGCGGATCCAGTTGGTGAGAATGGAAGATTTCCCCTTTGCATATGCCAAGGTCTCAGCACAAAATGTATGCACAAATCAAACTACTTCAATTCTGGTTTGGTTTTTTCCCATATTGAACTGAAGAGAATCCCTACTCTGTAGATCATTGGAGAAATAAAACAAACAAAAAAGAGAGGACTTTTGTTCACGAGTCTCATGATCTTGAAAAATTGCTATTCTAGATCTTTGTGTCTATCAAAATCTATAACTACTATCAATTCATATCTGTCTTGTGTTAGATTTTCATTGCTATGACAAAATACCTGAAAAATGACAAAGGACCAAAGGTTGACTTTGACTTATGGTTTCAGAGTTTTCAGTCCATGGTAAACCAGTTCTATTACTTTAGGCCTGTGGCAAGGCAGAAACATCTTGGCCAATGGTGTGGTGAAGAAAAGCTGCTCACCTCATAGCAGTCAGGAAGCAGAGAGAGAGGGAAAGAGACAGAGAAGAGGGCCCTGGGGACCAAATATATCTTTCTGAGTCATGCCTTCAGTGATCTTCTTCCTCTAACAAGACTGCATCTCCCAACAGCTCATTCAGCTGTGAACTCATCAATGGATTAATCCACACGTTAGAGCCCTCATAATCCAATCACCTTTTCTGGGCTCCACCTCTGGACATTGCAGCACTGGGGATCAGTCCCTTGAAAGTTGTATCTTTGAGGGACACTTCATGTTTAAACAATAATAATTATCTGGTCTACCTGGAGTTGCCAAAAAGAATCATTAATCATCATGTACAAACTAAATCCATTGCAAATCAGCAGTTGTAATTCCTAATGTCTACTCTTCCTGGAGAGCCATATTAAATGCCCTGTTTGTTTTTCCTGATGTAGCATCTTAGTTGTGTGTTTTTGTTATTGTTTTTTTGTTTGTTTTGTTTTGTTTTTTGAGGCAGGGTCTCACTATATAGTTCAGGCTGGCCTTAAACTCACTATATAGCCCAGGCTGGCTTTGAACTCATGGTGATCCTCCAGCCTCAGCCACCTGAATGCTGGTCTGTAGCATCTTATCATCTATAGTCCCCTGTGTACAGAAGTAATTGTTTTGCAGTATCTGTTTCTCAGAGGAACACTGTTGAGGTCCTTGAGACAACCCCAGTGGTTCCTCAAACAAATTTCTTTCTCTCTCTTTCTCCCTTCCTTTCTCCCTCCCTCCCTCCCCCTTCCTTTCTCCCTCCCTCCCTCCCCCTTCCTTCCTTCCTTCCTTCCTTCCTTCCTTCCTTCCTTCCTTCCTTCCTTC